AATTAGAATCTTAATTTTAAATTATATTATTTATTTAATTAAAATTCAATTGAAAATTTAAAAACTTATTTTATTAAATATTGATATTTGAGTTTAGAAACTAATTATATATTCTAATATAATTAGTTTTCAAATATAAATATCAATATTTAATAAGATCAATTTTTGAATTTTGAATTGAAATTTTGATTTTTAAATATAAGTTATGATTCTAATTTTTATTAAAAATCAGAATTAATACATATTTATCTCATATATATATGTTTATACAATATGAATTAGAGATCAATTTTGAATATATAAAAATGGCTAAAAGTAGTTGTATATGTGTATTATTATCAGCTTTGGTATATCCTTTCAAAGACATTAGCTGAAGAGGCTGCTTGGAAGTTTGCAAAGGAGAACAGGCTTGACTTGATTACAATAAATCCAGGATTTGTGATTGGTCCTATTCTACAACCAACCATTAATCTCACTGTGGAGCTCATATTGAATATCGTCACTGGTAATTAATTATCAGTATATATATAATTGCAGTAATATTGGGGAATAGTAGCAATTGTTACGTTTATAATATAGTTTGGTCTGTGTTGAAACGTGTATTGCATGCAGGACGAGAACTCCCACCACATGGTGTATTTATGGATGTTCGAGATGTTGCACATGCTCATATTCAAGCATTTGAGATTCCTTCAGCTACTGGCAGGTACTGCATGGTTGAAAGCACCGTAGATGTTACTGAGTTGTGGAAGATCTTGCATCGACTTTTCCCTATATTCCACCTCAATGAAAAGTATGTTGAATTTCAATTTCTCTTTTCACAGTCACACTAGATTAAATATCATCTTATGTTTTTATAATCTAACTGATTTGTTGTTTCTATAGATTTGAGGATAAACCTATTCAAAATGTGTTCCAAATATCCAAAGAGAAAATTAAGAGCTTGGGTTTTAACTTCATACCTTTGGAGGTGAGTCTCAAGGACACTGTTGAATGCTTGAAGGAGAAGGGTTTCGTTACCTTTTGAATTTCAACTATTGACTTTACTGTTATCAACTACCCTTTTCCCCCCTTCATTCAGTTTTTCTTAGTTTTTCAATAAAAATCATGTGGTTGTACCAAGAAAATGGATATTATTCTCAAACAAATCCAAAGGGAGATTCCTTTGCTATTTCTAAAGCATCTGTTTTTATATGGAATACACTAGTTCATATTCTTTAGTATTATACTATTGAAAAAGAATAGCCTGAAACCAAAAAAATATTATAACAAAGAAAGTGTATAACAAATTAACAATGCAAATGAAATAACTACAAATGAATAAACAATAGAATTAGAGTCAATTTATAAGAAAAAAGGTATTTACAATATTCTAGGTTGAAGCACACAATAGCACTACCTTTAGAGAGAATACACCCTCATTGCAATGTTAATTTGATGAATAAACCCTCATTGCATTGTTAAAAAAAAAGGTAACTTGCCATCCTCACTTAGGGCTTATTTAGTGCAACTTATTGAAGTTTTTGCTTTTTTTTTT